TATTTAATATTTATTGTACAGTCAGAGTCAGATAAACATTGTGTAGCCTCATAAAATGCTCCCATCCTTTGTTACTGAAGAGTCTGTAGTGGCTCTGTCTATCTAAAGGTCCATTTAGAGGTCAGCTGAGCATGAAGACACTGATATATAGTGTGTTTTAAAGCTTCACTGTGTCCTGACAGTAGTATATGAGGCTTATCATGATTGGCATTGGTGGATTCACAGGATAGGGTTGGACCTGTTCAGCCAATCATGAGCTGTTGCATCTAGTTAGCTGTGGTTGTGAAGGAGTCCAGCTTCAATAATGATTTGACTTTAAGTTAATTATGATTAATTTAGCTCAAAGTGTATTTTCTGTACATATTTCATGGTCTTAATTCACACATGAGTATCCTAATGCATCAATCTTTGTCTCAGGTTTGTAGGTAGAAATGATATACTGAATAGAAAATAGAAGAATACTGCAGAATAGTGTTGTTGAAAAGGGGAAATTAATAATTAATTATTGAATTCATTAATTGAAGGGTGTTATTTCTATCTTTGTCCCTCTCTCTGGTTGATTTTCTGACTAAAACCTCTCTGAACAGTGTCCCCTCATTGTCTAAACACCAAGTTGAGTCCAGATGAGAGAAGAGAGGAGTTGATTAAATTATCTTCTGAGTTTCTGCTTCAGTTTCGTGTAAAATGAGTAATTTGTGACAGAATTTTGATTTGTTGAAGGAACTTTTTATACCATATTCTGTATTTACTTAAGTTAACAATTTACTTTTCGTTTACTTTTCTTCCCAGACTGAACTAAATGCTGATACATAGGCCTACTATATATGTTTTAAGAATCGCGACCCCCCCCAGTCTGGGAACCACTGATGTAGAGCACTGTAACCATTTTATCCTAATTTGTTATTTCCTCATAATGTTGATAGAAAACGGCCGTTTCTGGGTGATAATACATTTAATTCAAAAGATATTTGCTGTTGTCTACAAACATAATGTGATAATCTTCAGTGGGTGGAGGAGGTCAGAGTATTCATATGTTCAGGTTCAGCAGCTGCGGTACAAAGTATTCAGTCAGGACAAACGGCTAGAGATGATTTATTATTGGAAATACATGATGTATGTATAGATGTTCACCTCTGTAAGAAACAAACCAAAACAATATCATTTTTTCACACGCTATAAATCATCAGGGAATAAGGCAGAGAATATGGAATAATGACATCAAGGTTTATTATAAAATCTAAAAGTGTAAAAGAAGATGTCATTTTATCAGGGTTAAGATCAGGACGTGCAGGATTAAACTACACTTTACATAATGAAGAAAACCGTTAATAAAGAATGAAAAATGTGAAACGTGTAATCGTAAAGGCTTGTAGCAGGTTGAGTCTGGAAAGGGAAAGATTGCAGGTGATGTGGTAAAGGACTGTTGGAGATGGTGAATAAACAAAATCAAGTTTAAATGGCTTTATTAAAATCCTTACATGAAACAGGTTTAATTTACAGAATATAATAATAAAGGTCTGTGATGTTTTTCAAATCTTAATCTCGTCTGGAAGGTAAATGGAAGCTGTACAGTGTGTGTGCTTTAATTATGTTAATGGAGTCTGTCTCCTGTTTTAATAGCGCAGAGTCAAAATGTGATTCTGTGCTTAATGCAGATTAAAGACACATTAGTGTCTTATTATTATTTTCTGATAAGGAAGTACAAACAGTGGGTGAGAGAGGCCTCCTGCCTGTCACTGCCAAACCTCTGCCAGCTGCCCACATTCACAATGTGGTGATGTGATCCTATGGCAGGATAATGGGGGGGTTGGGGGGATTGGGCCGGGGTCATTATGGGTTCTCGCTCCCTCAACCATCAGGTTTTACTTCCCCAGCAGCAGGAACAGCAGGATAACACGGCAAAAACATGTATCCTTGACTTTTAATAAAGATGAGGCCATTAGCTGCTTTCAGGGAGGTGAAATGGATTGGGTCAGTAATAGATTACTGCTGCTCACTTCCACTATGACAGAGTCCAAGTGAATGTGTTTCCAGACCCACAGGATTTATGAGGGAAGTGAGTGACAGCGACCTCCTTTGTCAGAATCTCGAAGGATCAAATTATAAGTGAGTTGAGATCAGTGACGGTATCGTATGAATGCAGTGTGATATATCATCAGCTGCAATAAGACCCGCTCAGCAGCACAGAAATAAGACTTTAATAGTGCTGTACATGGGAAGAACAGTCTGTAACCTGTTTGAAATATAACATGTATTCATTCATTGTTTTTACAGAAATGACAGAAATCCTGGGGCCAGCCACAACCCTGGACCCTCAGGCTCCTCTAACCCCAAACCCTGGGCTCCAGCACCAGCCTCGGCCCCCGGGACACTCAGCTGACTCACATGTAAGTCACTGTTTTGTAGGAATCCCTTTGTAATGGTAGAAGGAAATGCTGACATGCGTGCTGATGTGAACGGTCTGAAGAGCTTCTAGCCATGATGCCATATATCAGGATTAGTGTCATTCAACTCTTTCTACATTTTAAATAGCTTTGAGTTGTGCTGGATGAGTCCTGTCTTGGTACCTGCGTGTACTAATCATCTCTCTAATAATGAATGTTAAGTGT